GTAGCCCTCGCCACTCTAGCTGGCCCCTTGCCAGCGAGTCAGATGCACTTGAAGCCCTTGCAGCTGCGAATGAACGGAATGCAGATGCGCCCAGGGCAGGAGTTGCTCGAGCACAGACGGCGCTTCTTCTTGCACTCTGGAGGGGCGCGTGCTACTGGCAGAGCAAGTGCGGAGGAGAGGGGGGTGTGGTGGATGTGACAGAAGCCGTATGAGTGCATGTGCTCGGAAGTGGAATGAGGGGGGCATCTAGTCCCCGACTCGTGCATTACTAGACATACCACCAGAGCATTGAATGGCACATCACCCTCTGGACCCTTCCATTACAACACACACCCACGCCCCCACACCCCCATACCCCCACACGCACGCACGCACGCACCGACCCGTGATGCGCGCATGTGGCTCCAAGCAAGAGCGCACACACAGCGGCATGCACGGTGCGGTCGCACGTCACGATTATTCCCCGGTCTTGTGTTGCCTAACAGCACTCCTCTGCACACTCCCCTTCCCTCCTCCCAACTCGCCTCCCTTCCCACTCACACCCCTTCCAGATGCTTCCCCTGCTGCACCCTCCTCCTCACCCTTGGTGCACGTGTCGCAGAACTTCGTGCAGGCGCGGCAGAAGGCTGTGCCTGAGTACTGCACCACCTCGCACCGCCCAGCACCGCACGGCGTCGCAGTGGGGTACACGTAGCTGCGAGGGGGGGAAGGTACAAGAGGGATGATGGGAGAGGGATTCCAGAGTTCTATGACCATGCAGCAAGTATCAAAAAGAGTGAGGACGGGCAGCGGAGGTTCGGAGGGGAGGGAAAAATGTCAATGGTGGGAGGATTTCAGGCTAGATGTGAAATGGAAAGGAGGGGGCGCGAGTGATTTACAGATTCTGCAGATTGAGCATGGAGCCCATGGTAGCAGGGATAGAGCCAGAGAGTGTTGGAATATGAAGGTCACTCACTGTTGGCCATGCATGGTGGCACGTGGCATATGAATGGTGGCACGTGGAATTATGCATGGTGGCACGTGGAATTATGCATGGTGGCACGTGGAATTATGCATGGTGGCATGCACAGCAACAATGCAGCAGAATCAGAAGGAAGGGGTGCCAGGCAGGGGGAAACAGGGAGATGCATTGAGTCCAAGGAACGGAAGGAGAGGAGGAAGTCGAAGGAATGGGCGAATCAGATGACGTGGAGGCGAGTTGGGTGTGAAGGGGAAAAGGGGCTGCATGGACACCTAGGGATAATATGGGCTGGTTGGTATTGCATGATACATTGATATCCCCATCCTACGCCCTGGCGAAGGCATGTTACAGGCGAAACAAGAAGGAGCGCAATATTACAAGCGGGATAACTGGCAGAACATTACAGGTGGGATAAGTGTCTCAGTTTGGTGATGGTGGTTGGGATAGTGCCTGCCAGGTTCGTTAAGCAGAGGTTACTGGAGGAAACGAGAAAGGGCGTGAGGGAGGAAGGGGGAAGGGGGAGGTAGATACGATTAAGTTTGCTCACAAGTTTCACTGTCTGCTTCAGTGCATTCATTCAACCCCGGGGCAGTCTGCTTCAGGTTGCCCTTGAAGTCGTTTTTGAAGCCGTTGAAGTCGTTGAACCCCGGCCGTTAAAGTCGTTTTTTACCAACCCCGGGGCAGTCTGCTTCAAATTGCGCTTGAAGTCGTTTTTGAAGTCGTTGAAGTCGTTGAACCCCGGCCCTTGAAGTCGTTTTTTAACAACCCCGGGGCAGTCTGCTTCAGGTTGCCCTTGAAGTCGTTTTTGAAGTCGTTGAACCCCGGCCCTTGAAGTCGTTTTTTAACAACCCTGGGGCAGTCTGCTTCAGGCTGCCCTTGAAGTCGTTTTTGAAGTCGTTGAAGTCGTTGTATCCCGGCCCTTGAAGTCGTTTTTTAACAATCCAGGGGAGTCTGCTTCAGGTTGCCCATTGCCTGTGGCACTCTCTCGCTTCTAGTGCTCAGCTCAAGTGCTCAGCTCAAGTGGGCAACTCAAGTGGGCAACTCAAGTGGTCAACTCAGGTGAAGCGCACTCACAGGTATGTGAGCGACTTAAGAGAGCCTATGGATGCAGGGATGCTGCCAGTGAAGTTGTTGTCGTTCAGATCCCTGCACACATGGGACGGTGGGCGAGAGCGGAGATGCGGGGGAGGAGGCGGTGAGGGGGGGGGGAGAAGGAGGAGGAGGCAGAAAGCATCTAAAGTGGGCTCACATGCAGATGAGAGGGTGACGTGGGGCTGCAGTGATGTGCACAGTATGGGGGCCGCTACGTTGCGCTATGCTGTGAACCAGCGCTGACTGACGAGCTCATCAGGGGACGAGACGAAAGCCACAATGAAATGGTTCCCAGAGGTGCGCAAAAACTCTGGCAGATTCACATACACAGCTGGGAGATGGCAGCTGTTTAACCCCTCTGCACCCACCACTCTCCGCCATCCCCACCCACCACACCACCCTCCCCTCCCTCACAGGCTTCGAAGGTTGGTCATCGCACCCATAGACGAAGGCAGCTCTCCGGTCAGCAAGTTGTCCGAAAGTGAACTGGAAGCAAGGAGTGGTGTAGACAAGACAGTGGGGGGGGCCAGGGGGGGTGGGGGGTACAGAGAGTTGGAAAACGGCAGAAAGCGATGGAGAGGTGCGAGTGAAGGGAGAGTGTGCTCTGGCTTGGAGATCAAGATGCAAGAAACCTAATTTTGTGGCACCTAAAAACGTGATGCAAGGAACTTGATGTGTATCGCTTACGAGTCGACTCAAATGCAAGGAAGTGGATGTGCATCGCATGCAGGCAGGAGGAAGCCATGGTTGGGAAAGGAGGGCCCAGATGGGCCTAACAAGAAGGCAATTCCTCCTAGGGAAAAGAATACCCTTTTTGCCCAAGTGCTCGTAGGTAAACTCACAGCTCTTCCATATGAACACATCTACTGAGATGAGCAGGAATGGAGCCGACGAGCCGGTTAGAGTGGAGGTACCTGGTGCGACAAGGGAGGGCAGGGAATTGCAGCGAGCAGAGAGGGAGGGAGGGAGGGAGGTACGAGAGGGAGGAGTATGCAGGTGTGCAGCAGCGAAAGAGAGGCATAGAGGAGAAGCACACAAGGGCGGAGCGGGATGAGAGAGATGAAGGGGCAAAGAAGGGAAGGTGGCAAGCCAATAGTAGTGGCAGTCGAAGCGAACTTCGGGAGGCGAGTAAGGAAGCTGACGGTTGAGTGAGGGCAACGAGGAGGAGGGGAAGAGATCTGAGACACGTCTCAAAAGGCTGACAGGTGAGTGAGTGAGCAAGCTGACAGTTGAGTGCGGGAAACGAGGACTTGAGTAAGACTTTTGAGAAGCGTCTCAAAGGGCTATGATTAACAGTTGAGTGAGAGGGGAGACTGACAGCTGAGTGAGAGGGAGACTGAGAGCTGAGTGAGAGGGGAGACTGACAGCTGAGTGAGAGGGGAGACTGACAGGTGAGTGAGAGGGGAGACTGACAACTGAGTGAGAGGGGAGACTGACAGGTGAGTGAGAGGGGAGACTGACAGCTGAGTGAGAGGGGAGACTGACAGGTGAGTGAGAGGGGAGACTGACAGGTGAGTGAGAGGGGAGACTGACAGGTGAGTGAGAGGGGAGACTGACAGCTGAGTGAGAGGGGAGACTGACAGGTGAGTGAGAGGGGAGACTGACAGCTGAGTGAGAGGGGAGACTGACAGCTGAGTGAGAGGGGAGACTGACAGGTGAGTGAGAGGGGAGACTGACAGCTGAGTGAGAGGGGAGACTGACAGCTGAGTGAGAGGGGAGACTGACAGGTGAGTGAGAGGGGAGACTGACAGCTGAGTGAGAGGGGAGACTGACAGGTGAGTGAGAGGGGAGACTGACAGTTGAGTGAGAGGGGAGACTGACAGCTGAGTGAGAGGGGAGACTGACAGGTGAGTGAGAGGGGAGACTGACAGGTGAGTGAGAGGGGAGACTGACAGGTGAGTGAGAGGGGAGACTGACAGGTGAGTGAGAGGGGAGACTGACAGCTGAGTGAGAGGGGAGACTGACAGCTGAGTGAGAGGGGAGAATGACAGGTGAGTGAGAGGGGAGACTGACAGGTGTGTGAGAGGGGAGACTGACAGCTGAGTGAGAGGGGAGACTGACAGGTGAGTGAGAGGGGAGACTGACAGGTGAGTGAGAGGGGAGACTGACAGCTGAGTGAGAGGGGAGACTGACAGGTGAGTGAGAGGGGAGACTGACAGCTGAGTGCGAGGGGAGACTGACAGGTGAGTGAGAGGGGAGACTGAGAGCTGAGTGAGAGGGGAGACTGACAGCTGAGTGAGAGGGGAGACTGACAGGTGAGTGAGAGGGGAGACTGACAGGTGAGTGAGAGGGGAGACTGACAGCTGAGTGAGAGGGGAGACTGACAGGTGAGTGAGAGGGGAGACTGACAGGTGAGTGAGAGGGGAGACTGACAGGTGTGTGAGAGGGGAGACTGACAGCTGAGTGAGAGGGGAGACTGACAGGTGAGTGAGAGGGGAGACTGACAGGTGAGTGAGAGCAAGGTTCAAAATTACGGCGTTTTTTATATTTTTAGCCCGTATTATACGGTTTCGTAATTTACGGCCGTATAATACGAATTTTACGGTTCGAAATCACCTTTTTTGGGTTGGTTAAAAAAAACGGCCGTTTTTTATGGCCGTTTTTTTTAACCTGTGGTGTACATTCAGAATGTTGAATTCCGTATCAGGATTTTGGGGATGGGGGTACACGCGCAACCCCGAATGTTCATAAGTCAACGTTTTCCCGAAGCGCGAAGTCAATCGAACCCCGAGTCGCGCATTTTACCGAATTTCCCTGGACCGTTACGAAAGAACCCCCCCTTCGCGAAACCCGTTGGTTCTTTTCGCGCCCAGTAGGGTGGTTTCGCGCATTTTACGAAACCCCCCTGCCGAAGCGCGTTTCGAAAACAGAACCCAATGGATTTGGGTTCTCTTCGAAGCCTTTCTCAACCCAAATTCGAAGTGCGTGAGATACAAATACGTAGGACGTTTTGTAAGCTGCCATAGGACTTAGTTTGGAGCGTTTTTCTAGCTGAAATCTAAGCCAGTTTACTCTACCGCATAGCAACTCCAGATTTCCTTGACATCGCTGACTTAAAACACCTCCGACCTGTTTCCGACGTATTTAGACAGCGTCGCAGACATGGGCAGGGCGGTGTCCCGCATGTGGGAACACGTCCGCCGAGTTAGGGGCGAGGACGGCAAGGTCCTCCAAATCGAATGCCTCCATTGCGAATCGGCGCTTAGTAACAGTGCAACCAGGATAGGCGAGCACCTATACGGAACGCCCGCGACGAAATTCAAGAACGTGGCTGAATGCCAGTCGGAATTCGCCAGGAATCTTCGCGCCACGGCCGAGGCGGAGCGCAGCTCTACCTGCTCCACAGCGGCGCCTGGCTCCGCATCAAAGATTGGGGGGGAACGGCAAAGCCGGCCTCGACAGCGCGACATTCGCGACCTCGTTGACCCTAAGGCGCGCGACCACCTAGACTACCTATGGGCATGCGCGGTGGCGGAGAACGATTGGTCGTTCTGGTCTTCAAGGTATGTATTCCCGTTGTGTTGTTGATTGATCTGCTGTTTGTCACCTTTCAAGCATGCGCATGCATTGAATTCGGCAGAGAAGAACCACTAAGCAAACCTAACCCGCCACTTGCCCTACTTGCAGGTCCAAGGCCGTTCAGGCCTTTGTGGACGCTGCTGTCGCCTATGGGAAGCCCTATGACCTTCCCTCCGCATACAAGGTCGGCGGCCCCTTGCTGAAGAGGCTGAAGGCCGACTCTGACGCGCTAGTCAAGCCCCTCAAGGATACCTGGAAGACCGTGGGGTGCACCTTGTCGGTTGATGGGTGGTCGGATCTGAGGAGTAGGAGCCTCGTGTGTCTTATTGCCCAGAACGACACGGCCCCTGTTCTGGTCGAGGTGGTGGACTCAAAAACCGCCAAGAAAACCGGAGTTTTCTTGGCGGGTTTGATTAGATCCGCCATCTGCAAGATCGGTGATAGCTCGGTTGTCCAGGTTGTCATGGACAACGCGAGCAATAACCGAAGGGCGGCGCTGGAGTTGGCGGATGGTTTTCCCCGGGTTTTCTTCACGAACTGCGCAGCCCACTGTCTGGATCTTATGCTCCAGGACTTGGGCGCGCTAGACATCATCGAGCGGGTGCTGTTTCAGGCACACCGCTGCGTGATGCTCGTGAAGAACAGCTCGAGCGCTGTAACCCTCTTTCGAGAGGTGTTTAGTGAGCTCGAGCTGGTCCGCCCGGGGACTACCCGTTTCGGCACTCAGGTGATAATGATCACCCGTTTTTTGGAGGTCAAGTCAGCCATGATGCGGATGGTGATATCTGAGGAGTGGAAGGGGGTGGCCGTTTCCAAGACAAAGGAGGGGAAAAATATCAAGAAGCTACTGCTGGAGGACACCTTTTGGGAGGGGGTGGCGGCGGTCCTTGCCCTCATGAAGCCGGTGTATGAGGTGCTGAGGGCTGTTGACCGTAGATCTCTGCTTATGGGCAGGATCTACGGCCTCATGCTCGACGCGACGGTCAAGACAAACGCGGCCGCGGTTGCAGCGGGTAAGGGCTCACCTCGTAATTCCTTACCTCGTATTATCTGCATTCTCCCTCCAACCCGTCACACCCGCTCTCCCTTCTCTGCATTCTCCCTCCAAACCGTCACACCCGCTCTACCTTGTATGCATTCTCTTGTTTGCTGCCCTGACCACAAGCCTTGAACATGACTCACCTCCCTGCCCCCGTCACTCCCTCCCTATCACACGGCAATCCCCCCTGCAGCAAACTTTTTCGTGAAGCAGACCCCGTTGCTGCCGCAGAGGGACCGGGCTGCCTTTTTGGCCGACGTCAAAGCCATCATAGCCCGCAGGTGGGATGGGCAGCTCCACAACCCCCTGCAGACCGTGGGGTGGCTCCTCTCCCCACGCAACCAGTTTGACAAGGAGGTCCGCGACGACCGTGAGGTCAACAAGGGTTTCGCCACAGTCATTGGGGCATGGGAGAGCGAATTGCAGCGGCAGGTCCTGCTGCAGGCACAACTCGCCTCCTTCCACAACGGGGAGGACCGGTTGGGCAGCCAGCAGGCACGGTGGGCGGCCTCCACTCTCGTGGCGAGTGGGCGCCTGTCGGAGGCGGAGTGGTGGGTCATTTTCGGGGGTGAGGTAAAGGAGCTGCAGGAGATGGCTGTGAGAGTGCTTTCACAGCCCCTCACCGCGTCAGAGGTCGAGCGCTGGTGGTCCGCCATGAGCCGGGTTCAGCGGCGCGACCGGAACCGGCTGAAGGCCGAAACCATGGTCGACGTGACCTGGGTGGCCTTCAGCAGGCGCGCCAGGGCAGCGTTCGACGAGAAGGCGGCTGAACGCGCTAAGCTATATGGGGACTTGGCGGAGGGGAAGATCGGGGAGGGACTCCCCGGGCCTAGTGCCCCTCCACCAGAATCTGAGGGCTTGGAGGTGGAGCTTGGGGAGGAGGAGGGGGGGGAAGGTGGCGGGGAATGTGCCATTGATTGGGAGACCTTTGGGCTGGTCGGTGGGAGGGGGAAGAAGAAGGGGAAGGCAAAGGTCGGGAAGCGGGCGAAGAAGCATAGCGGGAAGGGGAGGGGGAAGAAGAAGCAGCGGCGTACCTTACACGAGGAGGCGGAGGGAGAGGAGGAGGAGGAGGAGGAGGCTGAGTGTGCTATTGATGAGGTCGGAGCTGCAGAATCCAGCAAGGGGGCAAAAGGGGGAGGCCCTTGGGATGTGAACCAGTGTGAGGATGAGGAGGAGGAGGAGGAGGAGGATGAGGAGAATGAGGAGGAGGAGGAGGAGGACGACGAGGAGGATGAGGAGGAGGAGGATGAGGAGAATGAGGGGGAGGAGGAGAAGGCGTAGAGTAGGAGTAGGATGAGGAGAATGAGGAGGAGGAGGAGGTAGCATGTGCAAGTGTAGGGATTAGGTGCAAATAGGGGTCATGCCTGTCTGCAGGTCGTGTTTGTAGGTGCCATGGTGCACTATTAAGCATTCAGTTTACGTTGCAGCCGCTTAGGAGCCAATCTCCCTCCAAAAAAAAAAATTCAAGTGCTCTATTTAAATTACGCCGTTTTTTTCCGAAACTGCCCAAAAAAAACGGTCGTAATTTACAGTCCGTATTTTTCGAAAACCGTAATTTTGAACCTTGAGTGAGAGGGGAGACTGACAGGTGTGTGAGAGGGGAGACTGACATCTGAGTGAGAGGGGAGACTGACAGCTGAGTGAGAGGGGAGACTGACAGGTGAGTGAGAGGGGAGACTGACAGCTGAGTGCGAAGGGAGACTGACAGGTGAGTGAGAGGGGAGACTGACAGGTGTGTGAGAGGGGAGACTGACAGCTGAGTGAGAGGGGAGACTGACAGCTGAGTGAGAGGGGAGACTGACAGGTGAGTGAGAGGGGAGACTGACAGCTGAGTGCGAGGGGAGACTGACAGGTGAGTGAGAGGGGAGACTGACAGGTGAGTGAGAGGGGAGACTGACAGGTGAGTGAGAGGGGAGACTGACAGGTGAGTGAGAGGGGAGACTGACAGGTGAGTGAGAGGGGAGACTGACAGCTGAGTGAGAGGGGAGACTGACAGCTGAGTGAGAGGGGAGACTGACAGCTGAGTGAGAGGGGAGACTGACAGCTGAGTGAGAGGGGAGACTGACAGCTGAGTGAGAGGTGAGACTGACAGCTGAGTGAGAGGGGAGACTGACAGGTGAGTGAGAGGGGAGACTGACAGGTGTGTGAGAGGGGAGACTGACAGCTGAGTGAGAGGGGAGACTGACAGCTGAGTGAGAGGGGAGACTGACAGCTGAGTGAGAGGGGAGACTGACAGGTGTGTGAGAGGGGAGACTGACAGGTGTGTGAGAGGGGAGACTGACAGCTGAGTGAGAGGGGAGACTGACAGGTGAGTGAGAGGGGAGACTGACAGCTGAGTGCGAGGGGAGACTGACAGGTGAGTGAGAGGGGAGACTGACAGCTGAGTGAGAGGGGAGACTGACAGCTGAGTGAGAGGGGAGACTGACAGCTGAGTGAGAGGGGAGACTGACAGGTGAGTGAGAGGGGAGACTGACAGGTGAGTGAGAGGTGAGACTGACAGCTGAGTGAGAGGGGAGACTGACAGGTGAGTGAGAGGGGAGACTGACAGGTGTGTGAGAGGGGAGACTGACAGCTGAGTGAGAGGGGAGACTGACAGCTGAGTGAGAGGGGAGACTGACAGGTGAGTGAGAGGGGAGACTGACTGACAGCTGAGTGCGAGGGGAGACTGACAGGTGAGTGAGCGGGGAGACTGACAGGTGAGTGAGAGGGGAGACTGACAGCTGAGTGAGAGGGGAGACTGACAGGTGAGTGAGAGGGGAGACTGACAGGTGAGTGAGAGGGGAGACTGACAGCTGAGTGAGAGGGGAGACTGAGAGGTGAGTGAGAGGGGAGACTGACAGGTGAGTGAGAGGGGAGACTGACAGGTGAGTGAGAGGGGAGACTGACAGCTGAGTGAGAGGGGAGACTGACAGCTGAGTGAGAGGGGAGACTGACAGCTGAGTGAGAGGGGAGACTGACAGCTGAGTGAGAGGGGAGACTGACAGCTGAGTGAGAGGGGAGACTGACAGCTGAGTGAGAGGGGAGACTGACAGGTGTGTGAGAGGGGAGACTGACAGGTGAGTGAGAGGGGAGACTGACAGCTGAGTGAGAGGGGAGACTGACAGGTGAGTGAGAGGGGAGACTGACAGCTGAGTGCGAGGGGAGACTGACAGGTGAGTGAGAGGGGAGACTGACAGCTGAGTGAGAGGGGAGACTGACAGGTGAGTGAGAGGGGAGACTGACAGCTGAGTGAGAGGGGAGACTGACAGGTGAGTGAGAGGGGAGACTGACAGCTGAGTGAGAGGGGAGACTGACAGGTGAGTGAGAGGGGAGACTGACAGGTGAGTGAGAGGGGAGACTGACAGGTGAGTGAGAGGGGAGACTGACAGGTGAGTGAGAGGGGAGACTGACAGCTGAGTGAGAGGGGAGACTGACAGCTGAGTGAGAGGGGAGACTGACAGCTGAGTGAGAGGGGAGACTGACAGCTGAGTGAGAGGGGAGACTAATAGCTGAGTGAGAGGGGAGACTGACAGCTGAGTGAGAGGAGAGACTGACAGCTGAGTGAGAGGGGAGACTGACAGCTGAGTGAGAGGGGAGACTGACAGGTGAGTGAGAGGGGAGACTGACAGTTGAGTGAGAGGGGAGACTGTCAGCTGAGTGAGAGGGGAGACTGACAGCTGAGTGAGAGGGGAGACTGACAGCTGAGTGAGAGGGGAGACTGACAGGTGAGTGAGAGGGGAGACTGACAGGTGAGTGAGAGGGGAGACTGACAGCTGAGTGAGAGGGGAGACTGACAGCTGAGTGAGAGGGGAGACTGACAGGTGAGTGAGAGGGGAGACTGACAGCTGAGTGAGAGGGGAGACTGACAGCTGAGTGAGAGGGGAGACTGACAGGTGAGTGAGAGGGGAGACTGACAGGTGTGTGAGAGGGGAGACTGACAGCTGAGTGAGAGGGGAGACTGACAGCTGAGTGAGAGGGGAGACTGACAGCTGAGTGAGAGGGGAGACTGACAGCTGAGTGAGAGGGGAGACTGACAGCTGAGTGAGAGGGGAGACTGACAGCTGAGTGAGAGGGGAGACTGACAGGTGTGTGAGAGGGGAGACTGACAGGTGTGTGAGAGGGGAGACTGACAGGTGTGTGAGAGGGGAGACTGACAGGTGTGTGAGAGGGGAGACTGACAGGTGTGTGAGAGGGGAGACTGACAGGTGTGTGAGAGGGGAGACTGACAGGTGTGTGAGAGGGGAGACTGACAGGTGTGTGAGAGGGGAGACTGACAGGTGTGTGAGAGGGGAGACTGACAGGTGAGTGAGAGGGGAGACTGACAGGTGAGTGAGAGGGGAGACTGTCAGCTGAGTGAGAGGGGAGACTGACAGCTGAGTGAGAGGGGAGACTGACAGCTGAGTGAGAGGGGAGACTGACAGGTGAGTGAGAGGGGAGACTGACAGGTGAGTGAGAGGGGAGACTGACAGCTGAGTGAGAGGGGAGACTGACAGCTGAGTGAGAGGGGAGACTGACAGGTGAGTGAGAGGGGAGACTGACAGCTGAGTGAGAGGGGAGACTGACAGCTGAGTGAGAGGGGAGACTGACAGGTGAGTGAGAGGGGAGACTGACAGGTGTGTGAGAGGGGAGACTGACAGCTGAGTGAGAGGGGAGACTGACAGCTGAGTGAGAGGGGAGACTGACAGCTGAGTGAGAGGGGAGACTGACAGCTGAGTGAGAGGGGAGACTGACAGCTGAGTGAGAGGGGAGACTGACAGCTGAGTGAGAGGGGAGACTGACAGGTGTGTGAGAGGGGAGACTGACAGGTGTGTGAGAGGGGAGACTGACAGGTGTGTGAGAGGGGAGACTGACAGGTGTGTGAGAGGGGAGACTGACAGGTGTGTGAGAGGGGAGACTGACAGGTGTGTGAGAGGGGAGACTGACAGGTGTGTGAGAGGGGAGACTGACAGGTGTGTGAGAGGGGAGACTGACAGGTGTGTGAGAGGGGAGACTGACAGGTGTGTGAGAGGGGAGACTGACAGGTGTGTGAGAGGGGAGACTGACAGGTGAGTGAGAGGGGAGACTGTCAGCTGAGTGAGAGGGGAGACTGACAGCTGAGTGAGAGGGGAGACTGACAGCTGAGTGAGAGGGGAGACTGACAGCTGAGTGAGAGGGGAGACTGACAGCTGAGTGAGAGGGGAGACTGACAGGTGAGTGAGAGGGGAGACTGACAGCTGAGTGAGAGGGGAGACTGACAGCTGAGTGAGAGGGGAGACTGACAGGTGAGTGAGAGGGGAGACTGACAGCTGAGTGAGAGGGGAGACTGACAGCTGAGTGAGAGGGGAGACTGACAGGTGAGTGAGAGGGGAGACTGACAGGTGTGTGAGAGGGGAGACTGACAGCTGAGTGAGAGGGGAGACTGACAGCTGAGTGAGAGGGGAGACTGACAGCTGAGTGAGAGGGGAGACTGACAGCTGAGTGAGAGGGGAGACTGACAGCTGAGTGAGAGGGGAGACTGACAGCTGAGTGATAGGGGAGACTGACAGGTGTGTGAGAGGGGAGACTGACAGGTGTGTGAGAGGGGAGACTGACAGGTGTGTGAGAGGGGAGACTGACAGGTGTGTGAGAGGGGAGACTGACAGCTGAGTGAGAGGGGAGACTGACAGCTGAGTGAGAGGGGAGACTGACAGGTGAGTGAGAGGGGAGACTGACAGCTGAGTGAGAGGGGAGACTGACAGCTGAGTGAGAGGGGAGACTGACAGGTGAGTGAGAGGGGAGACTGACAGGTGTGTGAGAGGGGAGACTGACAGCTGAGTGAGAGGGGAGACTGACAGCTGAGTGAGAGGGGAGACTGACAGCTGAGTGAGAGGGGAGACTGACAGCTGAGTGAGAGGGGAGACTGACAGCTGAGTGAGAGGGGAGACTGACAGCTGAGTGAGAGGGGAGACTGACAGGTGTGTGAGAGGGGAGACTGACAGGTGTGTGAGAGGGGAGACTGACAGGTGTGTGAGAGGGGAGACTGACAGGTGTGTGAGAGGGGAGACTGACAGGTGTGTGAGAGGGGAGACTGACAGGTGTGTGAGAGGGGAGACTGACAGGTGTGTGAGAGGGGAGACTGACAGGTGTGTGAGTGGGGAGACTGACAGGTGTGTGAGAGGGGAGACTGACAGGTGTGTGAGCAAAACGAAGGAGGTGAGGAAGTTGGGGACGGCGCCCACCAAGTGATTGGCAGCCATGGACCTGCGAGAGTGGACGGCAGCACATGCACAGCACAGGGTGATGCTGACTCAAGGCAGACTCAAGGCCGACTCAAGGCAGAGTCAAGGCAGACTCAAGGCCCAGGGAGGGAGGGAGATGCAGGGGAGCCATTCATGGATCAGATCAGATCAGATCAGATCAGATCAGATCAGATCAGATCAGATCAGATCAGATCAGATCATGTGACGGCTGGAGTGCAGAGAGGGCTGGATGGAAGGTGCTATTGCGACATGGAATGGTGGAGGCAGGGAAGGGGAGGGGAGGGGAGGGGGAGGGGGTGGATGGGGGGGGGAGAGAGGAGGGGTGTGAAGGGAAGGGAAGGGAAGGGAGGAAGGTCTGACAAGTGATCCAGGTTTGTGAGGGCACTCAGGGCGTCGGGAATGCTGCCCACCACCTCGTTGTTGTCAAGGTGCCTGTGGAGAAGGGGTGGAGGGCGAGGGCGGGGGGGGAGGGAGGGGGGGGTATTTTTAAGGACAAAGGTTGTGCGTGTGCATGTGTGTGTGCGTGCACAAGCGTAGCTGCTTCTATTCCTGCAAAAAGCAGAGCAGCGTGAGCAACGACGGGGAAGGTACAGGTGAGGGGGGAGAAGAGCAGGAGCAAGAGGAGGAAGTGGGGAGGGAGCAAGGGGAATGAGAGAGCGAGAGCAATGCAATGGCATACGAGTGATAGCTCCCAAAAAGTGCGATGTAGAATGGAACAGTGAAAGGATCCATGAACGAATCAAGCAGTGCACTGACAGGGACTGAAGCTGCAGCAATTTGCCCATCTCCGTTGGAATGCTTTCTGCAAGAATGTTCTTGGACAGAAATCTGCACACAGGCAGACAGTAAGGCACAGATGGCATTCTGTTTCTGAGGCGCCTCGAAAATCGACTTTTGAGACTGTTGTGGGCTTCTGTGAGCATGTTGTGGGAGAGACAGCTGCTTGAGGAGCATGCGAGCAGTGCAGTGCAGAGACGGTAAGAGGTGGGGGCGGAAAGGTGGGGCAGGGCGAGGGGGGGAGAGAGCAGAGCACAGCATAGGCATCTACGCTCGTATCAAATGAGTCGCATTCCATGCTCCAAGCTCTTATCAATGAATTCGAGCGAGAAATCTGTTCTGTTTTGCTTGACTGGAAGAAGGTCTTCTGGACAGAAAGAGCACGGATTAGTTGCGATGTGATGCCCTTCAATGCATGCATGCACTTATCCTTCAGCAGCATTCCCAGTCACTCCACACCTCAAACAGCCTCGCACCTTAAGCCTTGTGCCGTCAGCTTGCTTCTGTGTGGGTGGCGCTCACAGTTGTTGGAGGGAGGTGAGGGCGCCGATGGCCGGGGGAATGCCTCCACTGAGCCGGTTGCTGGACAGGTAGCTGAGGGGGCGACGTGCCGGCGTTGGGACATGCAGGGACGTGGGGGCATTGGCGCATGGGGGGCATGGTGAAGGGAAGGGGGGCATGGTGAAGGGAAGGATGTGAGAAGTGGGGGACATGGGGGCAACGATGTGGTACGAGCAGTGAGAGATGAAGAGGCATGAGGCATGACGCCTGTAGCATGACGCCTGTAGCATTGACAGGTGTTTCTCGTGGGAGCAAGGAGTGATTCGCGGAGTGATACGCGGAGTGATATGTGGAGTGATATGTGGAGTGATATGCGGTGTGTTACGCGGAGTGATAGTGATATGCGGAGTAATATGTGGAGTGATCGTGATACGCGGAGTAATACGTGGAGAGATACGTAGAGAGATACGTGGAGTGAGACGCAACGCATGCAATGCCGAGTCAGACACGGAGTCAACTAAAAAATGGCAGAAGGCAAGGCATGTGTGGGTGAGAGACGCGAGGGGGGATGAGACGTGAGGGGGGATGAGACGTGAGGGGGGATGAGACGCGAGGGAGGTGAGACATGGGAGCACATGCTTCTGCAGAAATGCCAACAGCATGGCACGCACAGCCTTGTAAGAGTGGTCGTGAGCGAAACGGCACAGCGCCTGCTTTTTTTGCCAAATTCTACCCACCGCTAGCACCCTAGCACTATACATGTCCGATTCGCCTGCTGCGGTCGGTCAAAACTCAGATTCTCTCAGCACGCACAGGCTTGTAAGAGCGGTCATGAGCGAAATGGCATCCGGAATTGCCTCGCTCAGTGCGTTTTCCTGCAGGTCGCTGCAGACAAGCGGTGGTGAGAGGGGGATAGAGAGAGAGTTGGAAACGGGGAGCGGGAGAAGACGGATGGGGATCGCAGAGGAGGACGATGGAGAGGACTTGTGGGTGCAAGCAAGTGAAGAGTGGGCAAGAGAGACACCGAACTGAACCGAACCGAACCGAACCGAACAGAGCGCAAATCCCAGCCTACAGGCTACAGGTGCGGCCATCTCACAGATAGGCGAGGGAGGCAAGGCCGCTGAAGGAGGCAGGGATGGGGCCGTTGAGGGAGTTGCAGCACAGGTTGCTGCCCCCACAGAGAAAGAAAGCCCCAGTGGGTGCGCGTGGGGGGTGGGGAGACGGTGGGGAGGGAGGGTAAAGTGCATGAGTGGGCAGTTTTTGGATGCAGGGCCAGGAGCAGGCGAGCTGGTGGAAAGGGAGGGGGGGGGGGGGGGGGGGGGGGGGGGGGGGGGGGGGGGGGGGGGGGGGGGGGGGGGAGAGAGGGGGAGCGGGTGAGCGAGGGAGGAGGATCGAGAACGGGAGGTTTGGCAACAACGGCAACAGAGAGAGAGAGAGAGAGAGAGAGAGAGAGAGAGAGAGAGAGAGAGAGAGAGAGAGAGAGAGAGAGAGAGAGAGAGAGAGCGAGAGAGAGAGAGAGAGAGAGAGAGAGAAGACCGACATGTACCGCCACAGGGCAGAATACGTAGGCTTCTTCCCGCTGGCCGTTGAGACATACGGCTGCCCCTGCGCGGAAGTGCCGGCCTTCCTCAAACTCCTGGCACACACGGCCGCCCGGCGCCTTTTCAATGCCGACCCCTCCTCGTACCAGGCGGCGAAACTACTTAGCCAGTTTCGCCAGCGCTGGTCCGTCACCCTCCAAAGAGGACAGGCACTGGCCTACCTGGGGAAAGTGAACGAGGCGTCACCGCTAGAGTGGCCCCCCTTGGGAGGGCCTGAAGCGGGCATGTCCCTCGGGGACTGCTTCGCCGCTCCACGGCCCGCGGGGGAAGCGAGGGGGAGGCGGAGGAGTCGACTTTCGTTTTTCAGGCGGCGCGGGGGGAGGTGACGCTGGCGGAGAGCCCTCCAGGAAGCCCTCGCGAAGTCGCTTGCTGGGCCGCGACGGCTCCGGGGGAGAAACGCTGGGCCTGCTGGGACCCGCAACGCCGCCACATCCGCCAGCGGCTGGTGGTGCCGCTGGCGGCAGAGGAGGAGGAGGAGGCAGCCCAGACGGAGGGGGAAGCGCGGGTAACGAGGGAGGCGAAGGACGCGGAGGAGGAGGGGACGGGGGAGGAGGAGGGACAGGCGGATGGTGGAGGCCAGGATGCGACGGTCGCGGAGGCGAATAACGCATGGGAGATCCCAAGCGCGAGCTTGAAGATGGGGAGCGGGGACAGGGTGGACCAGGACCCACCCCCTCCAAGGGCTGCGAACGCTGCAGCTGTTGGAGAGCGCGCGTCAAGACGGCCACCTGCGCCGCCTGCTCGCGAAGCTCAATCCGCAGCACAGAGGTCGGGGACAGCACACTCGACACGCCGGACAAGGGAAAAACGCGTGCCGGCGAAGACGCCCCCTCACACAGAGGACGGCGCGACGGGGACAGCAGCTGCCCCTGCGTCATCCGCACGACGGGAGACACCACCGGGTGACAGGCGGAGCGACGAGCGCGAGACCGCCACCGCGCAACGCACCGCCCCGAACGCACGCGAGCGAGCAACGGAGACCAAACGTATCGGGGGCGGACGGAGACAGGCGGGACAAAACATGAAGTTGGCAACCAAGGGAGGCCGCTCCTTCCGCCGTACCGCGGAACGACTGCAGCGCGAGGCGAACAGACTCGCGGCAACAACTGGGCAGCCGGCCAACGAACGGCGCGACGGCACAAACACACCTGCAACTAGCAATGCTGGGGTCGCGGACGGTCAGGCCGATGTCGAGCTAGCGAAGGGAAGCGCAGGGGCAGACATAACAAGTGGAGCAGTTAGAGGAGGACGGGCTGGGACTGGGGAGGAAGGAGGAGTTGGAACAGCCGCTGATTATCAGATCACAAATGACCCCAGTTATACCCCCCCAGCGGGGGTAAACTGGGAAGGCGACTCGGAAGAGGAAATTTCAGACGAATCCCCTGCCCGAGGCGCGAATGTGGCAGCACATTCCACACGACGGGCCGCCCCATCCAATACCCGCCGCGGCCCGGCAGGTTCCCGCCGGCCAACGCCAGCAAGGCGTGTCCTCTCCCCCCTGACACTCGCCAAGCGCGAAGACCTGTTCGCGAATGTCGGGGAGTGGGACATCGCGAAGTTGCGAGATTGTCGCATGCCACCCCTAGCCCGTCGCCTCCCACGCGAAATCCAGGCGGCTTTCGCCTCCTGCCTCCTGACACCGCTCGTCCACCTGTCCCGGGCACCCCACTCGCAAAACGGATGGCGCCTGCTCCTTTTTCTGCCGCGCCTGACCCTGGCGACAGCTTCGACGAGGAAACCCGACTGGGAGAGCATGTTACGACGTCTGCGGGATTTCGCCACGGGGGAATGGGCGACACTCTATGAAGAGGCTATCGCCTCTGTGGCGTTACCACAGCCCCCACGACACGCAAACGACACTGCGGGCCAGATCGCTAGGGCGGAAACTATCAGAAACTGAGAACTTGATTGATTAAAATGAGCAAGAGCATACATCCTTAAGTACCGAGCATCGGAGAGGATGGGAAGGGATAAGGGAGAATCGGAGGGAATCCCAAGGGAATCCTCCCAAATCGTGGGGATTTGGGATGGATTGGGTTGGGATAGGTTGGGGATGAAAACATATCTACACCCAACCTAACAAATATGAGTATCCCTAAAACCAACAAAGTGTCAACACACAAAATTGTGCCAACCGAATTGCAGCCTATCTCTAACACACCCCCTAGGCTGCAACGTCGGAAGCCGTAGGGACGCCAAGTCCCATGGTACGGAGGAGACGATAGTGATCACGGCGTCCAAGAGCCTTCGTAAACAAGTCGGCGAGGTTGCAGTCAGAGGAAATATGCTTGACGCACAACTGCCCTCGCTGGACGAGCTCGCGCATGAAGAAGTGTCTCAATTCGATGTGCTTGGTTCGTTGGTGGAAGACAGGATCTTTGGTGAGGTGGATAGTGCTCTCGTTATCACACCACAGAGTCGGGGTCTGCTGAGGATACCCGAGCTCAGCCATGAGGTAGGTAAGCCATCGAGCTTCTTGGGCTGCCATGGTGCCTGCGTATAACTCAGCTTCGCAAGATGACAATGAGACGGATGATGAGCGTGTAGATCGCCAGCTGATGACACCACTGCCAAGGGTGAAGCAATAGCCTTGGGAAGAGCGGCGGTCAGCTTGATCATCAGCCCATGAGGAGTCGCTGTATCCCTCGAGGTGAGGAGGGGTCGTGCCACCGAAAGTGAGGACGTAGTCCTTGGTGGCTTGGAGGTAGCGAAGGACGCGCTTAGCAGCCGACCAGTGGCGATTGGTGTATCGACCGGCAGCAACGTAACGCGAGAGCACACTGATGGGGTAGGCGAGGTCGGGCCTTGTGCACATCATCGCATACATGAGTGATCCGACGAGCTCGGGGTATGCCTCATCACAAGGCTCAGGCGATGGAATTGATGGAGCGGTCAGATCATGCTGCAAGGGAAGGGGAGTGGCCACTGGCTTGGCGTTGTCCATGGCAAAACGCTTGAGGACGTTGTTCACATAGAACTCTTGAGAGAGAGTGATGGTTCGAGCTTCGCGATCCCGCGAGATTTCCATCCCAAGGTAGTTCTTGAGTTCACCGAGGTCCTTCATGGCGAGAGCGTCCCCAAGAGCTTGCTTAACAGCTGCCAGCTGATCGGAGTCCTTGGAGACGAGAATCATGTCGTCAACGTAGACAAGGATGAAGAACGGGCTGTCGTTCTTGCGAATGAAGAGACTCGGATCGGCTGAGGAGGGGTGGAAGTCGAGTGACTCGAGGGTTGCTTTCAGCTTCTTGTGCCATTCCCGAGGAGCCTGCTTCAACCCGTAGACTGGTCGATTCAGCTTCCAGACCGTGCCGGGTGGAAAGGGTAAGGGAAATCCTTGAGGACGTTCCATGTAGATGTCCTCGGGGAGATCCCCTTGGAGAAATGCAGCAGAGACGTCCATGGAGTGAACGTCAAAGTTGCATCGAGCAGCGATGTCCAGCAGAGTCCGAAGAGTGGGCAGTTTGGCTGTCGGAGAGAATGTGTCGAAGAAGTCCAGGCCCTTCTTCTGCGTGAAGCCTTTTGCACAGTATCGCGCCTTGAAGACTGGGAGTTCGCCAGGCAGCTGCTTGACGCGAAAAACCCATTTGCCACGGACAATGTTAACTCCTCGCGGAGGAGAGACGTCCGTGAAAGAGTTGTTGCGAATGAATGCTTCACACTCCGCGATCATGGCTGCGAGCCACTTGGGGGAGTGTGGTCCAGAGATGGCTTCATCATATGAGTTCGGGGTCGGGATGGATGGATTTTCCGAGAAGTTAAGAGTTGGAGCGTCGGCAAGGTCGGGGAAGAGATGGCAGAGCTGACGGATGGCAGCATTGATCTCAATCAGCTCCTCATGCCTATCCTCCAAGAGGCCAGGCATGGATGCACCCCCGGCAGGAGGAGGCGGATTGAGGGAGATGCGAACAGAGAGGGCGAGAGGCGGAGCGGGACCATGAGAGCGGGTGCGGTGAGCAATAGGGACAGGAGAGGAGGGAGGTGGCGGGGGAGCAGGTGGGACATCGACATAAGAGCGTCCGTGGCGACGGCGACGATAGGTGATGGGCGAGTCGGGAGGAGAGGTGGAGGTTGGAGGCGGAAGCGGAGGTGAAGGCGGGGAGGGAGGCGCGGGGGCAGGGGGAGCCACAGAAGGAGAGGGAGGTGGAGGGGCAGCTGCAGGAGCGGGTGCAGGGGGAAGTGCAGGCGCGGGCGGAGGTGAACGGGCAACTGAGCCAGTGGGCGAAGAGGGGTGAGAGAGAGTGGAAGGAGATGGGGAAGGTGAGAGTGAGGGGGCCGCAGGAGCAGCAGAGGGAGGAGGTGGGGTGGGTGAAGTATCGAAATCGGCCCACACAAGCGAAGGTGGAGCGGTGGGGGGTGGTGAAGAGAGGTAAAAAGGGCGACTCTCGTCAAAGGCGACATCGCGGCTGCGAATGAGCTGATTGGTGGAGAGATTGAGGAAAAGGTAATCGGGAGAGTCCAGGTTGTGGCCGAGGTAGACACAGGGTTGAGCTTTGGGTGCAAATTTGCCGCCGTGGGTGCGACGTTCCTGAGGGTTGAGGAGGACATAAGCTGTACACCCCATACGCGGAGAGGACGTGCACTGGGCTTGGTGCCGGTCCACAGTTCAGCGGGAGTGATGGCAGGCCGAAGAGGGTGAGGGTGAAGGTTGTACAGCAGCGTGGCATGAAGGAGGGCGTAACCCCAAAGGGAAGGTGGTGCACCAGCGTGAGTGAGAAGACAGCGAGCGATTTGCACGAGAGTGCGATTGCGACTTTCGGCAATGCCATTCTGCTGCGGACTGTGGGGAAGGGTGAAGGTCTGGCGAATGCCTTGGGAGGCACAGAACGCTTGAAGGGAATGGTTTCGAAATTCGCCACCGCCATCGGAATGGAGGCACTTGACTGAAGTGCGGAAATGATTTTGGGCTTGTCGAAGCCATGCGATGACGACATCTGGAACAGCTGCTTTGGAGGAGAGTAGGTGGACGGAGGCATAGCGAGAGTGATCGTCAACGAGCACTAGGAAGTAAGAGTGCCCGCCACGAGAGCGGACTGGAGCTGGGCCCCAGACGTCCATGTGGACGAGGTCAAGCGGGGCGGCTGCAGCAGAGGGCGAGGAAGGGTGAGGCAACTGGCGTAGTTTGCTTTGCGCGCAGTCCAAGCATGGAGGAGCGGGAGAAGTGGAGGGTGGAGGAAGTGTGTCGGGCAGGTGAAGAAGCAACTTCTTAGACGCAAGCTCGGAGAGCATGCGGAAGTTGGGATGCCCAAGACGATGGTGGTAAAGAATGGTTGGATCGGTGAGCTGACGGCAGGAGCACGATGATGTGGTGGAGGTAGAGTGTGCTTCTGTGGAAGATGGAGGTACTTGGAGTGTGTAGAGGTTGTTGGCGGTCAGTGTGAAGCGTGCAAGTAGGGCATTGGTGGTGGGCTGAAGGAGATCACAGTGATTGGAATGAGCTGGGAAGATAGTGGTTACCCCTGCTCGTTGAATCTCATGTTGTGCAAGTAAGTTGTGCCGAAGAGTGGGCACGCATATGCCAGTGACTGTGCCAGATGGGAAGGCTGGGCATGGAAGAGTGGAGGAACCATGGGCGACAGTTGTGAAGCTGGAGTCAGCGCCCAGAAGAGGAATGGGTGCTTGGTATGGTTTGAAAGACTCTTTGTCTCGGAGGACCGTGTGGGTTGCGCCACTGTCCAGGACGAATTCAAGTTGTTTAGATGGTGTTTGTGGAGACGTCGAGTACTGGGAACTGGTTTCATTGATCATGGGAAGGCCAGGGAACAACAGGTTGAGACGAACATCAGGACTAGGGCATGAACGGCTGAGTCCTGACTATCCTGTGCCTCAACCTGGTTGAGCTGGCGCATGCGAAGCCAGTTGGGCGGCTTGGAGTTGATACCATTCTTGGCGAACCAGTCGTCGTCCTTCTTTTTGAAACAGGTGGCGAGCGGGTGATTGGTGCCGCCGCACACCTGACCCGCACGGGGTCCCATTTTGATGACGTAAGGACAGGGTGGGTAGCGGTTACGAGTGGGTGGCGGATTGGGACGCGATGCTGGAGCCGGGACAGGAGCGCGAAGCGCATTTGCACGAGCCTGCGCAGTGTTGTCTTTTTCAGCAGAGAGAAGTGCGGAAGAGACTTTGGCAAAGGTTAGCTCTTCTGGCGGGAGATGGAGAAGCATGGAGCGGGTGACATTGTAAGAGGGGGTCAGCCCAACAAGCAGAGCTGCTGCAGGGGCTTGCTCTGGGAAGACAATGCCGAGTTGCTTCAGCTCCTGATGAATCCCTTGAATTTCAGCGACGTAATCTGCCATTCCAGGGCACTCCTCCAGACGCACTTGAAACATGCGGGGGATGAGGATCGCCACCCCCACAGCGGTTTTGTTGAGGAAGCGGTCGTTGAGGTACTCCCAGATGGCGTGCGCGGAGGGGTAGTTATGGTAAGTTTTGACGAGCTCGGAAGGGGTAGTGCCGACGAAGACGCCAATGATAGCGGCGTCGGCTTGCTCCCACACGCTGTAAGATTCCTCATACTTGGACATGGATTCCTCATGGGTTTTTAACTCTTCCCCTGTGGCTGTGGCCGAGAGCTTCTTGGGAAGGATCGGCATCTTTCCTTTGCCGCGATTGAGGAGGACATCCTTGAGGCAAATCCCCTCAATTTTGCGGCTTAGGAGATGCTTATCAACCCCATAGCTCCACTCCTTGAAGTTAGGGCTTGAGCCATTTGGGTCGAGGCGTAAGGGAGTGATCGGGTTTGAGAGAGACGCGGAAGGATATGCCATGATGCTCCAAGGACCCTTTCTCCGCGCGTAGCGCAGCTCTTAAGTCGCCGATAGCTGCGCGCAGCGCGGGCTCAGCGAAAAACAGGGTTTCCCTTTGCGGATTTTCAACACTCGGAGAAGAGGAATAGCCGATAAAGAGAGAAATCTGAACGCCAAAAATCTATGGAAACCCGCGATGTGCTGCTGCAATCCCGCTGCTCCGCGACCCCCCCTTTTCCGCTTCGCCGCTGCCCCCTTTCCGCTTCGCCGCTGCCCCCTTTCCGCTTCGCCGCTGCCCCTTTTCCGCTTCGCCGCTGCCCCCTTTCCGCTTCGCCGCTGCACCCCCCCGCTGTTGCAAGGGCGACGGGCGACAGCCCGTCCAGCTTCGACGAGCAGATGCGGGGCGACGGGCTCAGCCCGATCAGGTGCGACGAGCAGATGCGGGGCGACGGGCTCAGCCGATCAGGGGCGAGCAGATGCGGGGCGACGGGCTCAGCCCGATCAGGTGCGACGAGCAGATGCGGGGCGACGGGCTCAGCCCGATAAGAAGCGCCGCGCTGAGTTGAGGCGACTAGAAAAGCTTTGCGTCGTAAGACGCAAATGCTAGGCTCCAACGGAGCGAGAGGATCAAGAGCCGCTTAGGCGGAAACGAGCTCTGATACCATATCAGAAACTGAGAACTTGATTGATTAAAATGAGCAAGAGCATACATCCTTAAGTACCGAGCATCGGAGAGGATGGGAAGGGATAAGGGAGAATCGGAGGGAATCCCAAGGGAATCCTCCCAAATCGTGGGGATTTGGGATGGATTGGGTTGGGATAGGTTGGGGATGAAAACATAGCTACACCCAACCTAACAAATATGAGTATCCCTAAAACCAACAAAGTGTCAACACACAAAATTGTGCCAACCGAATTGCAGCCTATCTCTAACAGAAACCCTGGCTAAGCGAGGGAACCTTCGCAAAGCGCTCCAGGCCCTCGAATCCACCCCGGTATGCGAGCCGAGTGGGGAAATACTTAGCGCCCTACTGGCTAAGCACCCACGTGCTGAACGCGCCCTTCCAGGGTGGACCCAACCACACCAACACCAACCCAGAGCCGCCAATCCAGCCGCCATCTCTACCGCTAACTGGCGCTCCTGCTGAGACAGCCGAGGAGCATCACCTCGCCATCACAGTCGCTGAGCTGAAGGCCCTGCTACGACGCTGCCCGAACGGCGTGGGTGCAGGGCCAACGGGAATGTGTTTGAACACATCCGCGAAAGCGCCGTTACCATGTCGACGTCCTACAGCCACCTTACGACGCTAGTAAACGCGGCGCTAGCCGGGAACGTACCTCCTGAGGCGACGGAGCTGCTCACCACATCGCGGCTGCTGCCGTTCCAGAAGCCGGGGGGCGGGGTCCGGCCCATAGCAGTGGGGGAATGCCTCTTTCGCATCTTGGGCAAGGCCGCCCTCTCGCTCCTTGCGGAAACCGCCCAACAGCACTTCCTCCCCTCCAATACGGGGTGGCGGTGAAAGGCGGAGGCGAGACCGTCATCCACGTCGGACGCTCGCACCTACAGCTGCACCCGGACCACCTGGTGCTGCAGGTTGACATGACCAACGCGTTCAACTCAGTTGAACGCCTGGCCTTCTTCACCGCCATCCGGAACAGCCCACTCAAGCGGCTGCTGCCCCTGGCCAGACTCTCATACGGCAGGGCCTCATCCCTCCTCCTGGACCCCGCCTACGGCGCCCCCTCCCTCAGCAGCGAACGGGGGGTGCGGCAAGGAGACCCCCTGGGTCCCCTGCTATTCGCCATGGCCATGCACCCGGCCCTGAAGCGGACGGCGGAGGACTACCCGAGCGTCCTCACGCTGGCGTACGCAGACGACGTCACCTTCATTGGAACGCCGTCCGAGTGCGCGGCGGCCTTCTACGCATTCAGCGGCCGCATAGCAGCAGCAGGCCTTGAATGCAACCCCGAAAAATGCGGGGCCTGGTCGGCAGCGGAGGTGGACCCCGAGCACATCCCCGCAGGGATACCCCTCCGAACAGACGCGGTGCGCATCCTCGGCAGCCCCATCGGGACACCGTCAGGGTGCGAGCGCCTGATGAGGGCGGCCTTGCTTAAAGCGGCCTCAGCGCTCCCGCTCCTCGAGCAACTACAGCCGCAAATAGCGATGCTGCTACTTAACAAATGCGTCACGCGGCGAGCCTCCTACCTGCTCCGGACGACGCCACCGGGCACGCTCCCGCCCCACGACTGGACAGCGTGGGGCAAACGTCTCCTGGCTGCCGCCCTGACTGCATGTGACCTGAAACAGCCTAACACTCCAGAGGACCAGGACCTCCTCTGGCGGCAGTCCACTCTGCCCATCTCCATCGGAGGCCTAGGCCTGCTCGACCTAGTGGTGGAAGGAGGATTTGCATACCTGGCCTCCACCGTACAGGCAGGCGACCTTCTCCGCACTCTTGACACCACCGCGCTATCACCCCTCGGAACCGCACGGGACCTCCTGTCCCCACCCTACACCGCGCCAATCCCCTGCACCTCCTCCTCACTCACCTGGAAGCCGCCCTGCCACCAGCCGCACAAGCCGTCCTGCGGCAGCCGCGGGAGGAGTCAGCACCAAAACTGCAGCACGCCCTTGCTCTTGAGGTGCATGGGGCACGACACGCCGCTCTGGTCGCGGAATCCCGCGCACTGGCCCTCAACCCCAACATGGGCCATACGCAGCGCCTACTGTCGCTGCTAGGTCCGGGGCGGGCGACTGGCTGCTGGCCATCCCCTTCTGCCCGGACCTCTCGATGAGCAAGGGACAGTTCGCCACAGCCCTGTCCTTCCGGATGGGGCTGCAGCACTCCCTGCCCGACAACTGCAACTGCAGGGAAAAAAGGGAGCTCAAGGATAAGAGGCTGCCCAACCACCTACTGAGGTGCACCCTCGGTGGCGGACCCATCCGGGTACACAACGCCCTGGTGAACCTGGGGGTGCGCCTCGCCAGCGAGGCACACTTCGTGGTGCACAAGGAATCGACCCTATACCTACCCGAGACGACCCAACGCCGCGCCGACATCACCCTCCGAGAACCGGACTCAGGCGCGGTATGGGTCTGCGACGTCACTGTCACCGACCCCATCTCCTCCAGGGACCCAACAGCAAGGAAGGGGACAGGATGGATGGCGGCTGAGATGCAGGACAAGAAAAGGGACCTGTACGACGAAAGACTCACCTTCGTCAAAGTCCTGGGTGTGGCAACGGAGACATACGGGTGCTGCAGCAGCGACACCCGGGAACTCCTCCGCCTGCTGGCGGTAGTAGCCGCCCGGGAGAATCACCATGCAGACGAAAAAGTCGGCGGTGACCAAGAAGCTGATACATTCCTTCCGACAGAGGTGGTCAGTAACACTACAGCGGCAGCAAGCCATAACCTTGCATGCAAAGATCGGGCAGGCGTCCGGGGGAGCCTTCCACCACGAGCGCCCAATGGAGGAGCCGCTCACCTGGGGTGAACTTGAATCGACAATTGAACCTACCTTCGAGGGGTGGCCCGGGCAACAGTAGGATGTCTGGGAGCCCATTGTCTCACATGGACCAGTGTATGCCATTTGTACCCTTTATAAGGATAATACGAAGGACCGTTCGAGAGAGAGAGAGAGAGAGAGAGAGAGAGAGAGAGAGAGAGAGAGAGAGAGAGAGAGAGAGAGAGAGAGAGAGAGAGAGAGAGAGCCCATGGTATATAAGGCTCTTCCACCCATCCTAGAGTTCATTATTTAGTTTTGAGTTGAGTTCTTCATCCGGTCCCTGCAGCGGCGCTCGCGCCGGCGGCCTTCGGCGCCGTCGCTCGCGGCGCGGCCTCCGGCCGCGCAGGAGGGCAGAGAAGGGGCGGGGATAGGGATCCACTCCAAAACCAGGGACGTTACAGCATACAAGCATGCCTCTACAGGGGGCTGCAACCTAGCAAATAGCCTATGGCTACGGCGCCACCCACGGCGCACGATGACGGGGACCTGGCCTACACGCCAGACAACCGCCCACCTACTACACCCCCAAAGCCGACGGCGGGACAAGGGCCCCGGCCCGACTCTCCAACGCCCGAAGCACCGCCGCGCAAGCGGCCAAGATCGCCGGGCGCTGATTCGCCACGAGCGACCGATTCAACTCATCAACGGCAGGAGCGGGATCCAGCTCCCCCGCCTCTGCTCCTGGCGGCAACCCATAGGCCAGCCGCCAGAGGAGTAGCGACGCGGCCTCCATCGCGCGCCGCTGCTGCGGCGAGACATCGCGGGCCGCCACGACCGACCCGCCTCAGGCTTCCGTGGAGGCGCCTGCAACGGCGGTGGGCGGAGACAATCCAGCACCTCCGCCACCGCGCCAATACACGCGACGACGCCGGCCATCGCCTCTACTGGCGAGAACGCGTGCGGCGACGCCAGGCGGACAGGCGGACGAGGAACCGGCGGCGGGTCGCCGAGCACATCCACTGGTGTCGGCGGCATACCCCGCCCCACCCGCAAAACCCGTCTCCCTGAGGACGAACGGAGAGGGGCGGAGGGGGATCCCTTCGTCTTCCGGGCACTGCAGTCGGAGGTGACCCTGCCGAGAGCCCGTCGCAGCGCCCCCGCGGGGACGTTTCATTGGACGAAACGGCAGGGGCGGAGACCCCGCGGACACACCCTGACCCGATACGACGCCGCGTCCGACAGCGGCTGGTGGTCCCGCTGGTGATTTCGGAGGAGGCAGAGGGGGCGGCTGGAGAACCCCGCGGGGAGAGGAGTCGGGACCACCGGCGAGCCCCCGATGGAGGGGGAGCCAGAGGGGCTAGAGGGACGGGAAGAGGCGACGGCGGAAGCCG